TCTGGCGTGTAAAAGGAAGTAAAGCCACACTGCTTAGAAGAAAGTCTCTGGAGTCAGTACTGGGGTACAAATTCTGAAAATTACCACTTTGGGTGTGTGCAGTTGGGGTTTTGATCCTTCATATAAGGTCTCGCTGGTCTTTCCAGCTGCTTCCCTGACTATTTGGCTTGTGAATCCTGCAGGAGAAACAAATTCCTTCAAAATATCACTTAACACTTAGAAAAACTTAAAAAAACCAATTATGTTGATAGCATACTCTGTACATGTTTGCTTCTTCAACATAACTCCATCTAAATTTAATTTAAAATCTGTCGACATTAATTTAAAACACACAGGTAGGGCACTTCCATCAACCCACCATACTAATAGCGCAGTTATGGTATTACCATATAGTCATGATCTACGCCACTTACAAGACCTTGTTAGCTTTCTTGTTTATATGGGACTAAAGTCCTACCCGATCTAAACGAGTCCCTGACCTCTCACAACAGCAATAACTGGAGTACTTTGCTCTCACACAGCACCTTTCATCTCAGAGCGGTTCTGACACATGAATTTTCATTGCATCCCTGTGACACCCAGGTAGGCGGCTAGGCACACTTCAAAGGCAGGGGAACTGTGCCACCGGAAGGTTACACAACTTGGCCCAAATCCCCGGGGAACAGCTGGGAATGTGAACCCTCCCAGCGCTTGTTCTGAATGTCCAGACAATAACACTTACCCCCAAAATGAGTTTCATAAAGCATTAATCAAAATGTTTAACCCCCTACTAAGTTTGCAAATGGCATGGGCAGACGATAGGCTCACTAATTCTTTTTGATACGATATTCATGACTTGTTCTCCTTTCCTGGCAACACTTCTTTTCTTAAGGAAAATAAAAACCAAAACCATTCGAATATAGGAAATAACCAGAGATTTTTCAAGCCATTATTGCAAAATAATTTAGAATCTGAGATGTTTAGCACTTCCTTTACAGGTCTCCTGTTTGATCCCAACCGCTACACTGCACGTGAGGTATGGCTGTTTCTCTGCAGGACCAGTGCACCCCAGTGACCTCAGGAGAGGTCAGTTTTCGTTTCCAAGGACCCAGGAGCTGCTGAACAACGTCATGCCTACATACCCAACAGTTACATTGGCAAATAAAACTGCCCAACCAACAGCTAGTGACAGCACTTGAAACTAATGATTCAGGGGCTGGCTATAGGATAGGTAGAAAGGGAAAAAAAACCCACCGCCCTGTTGTTCCCATTGATAATTAAGGGACTACTGCAGACCAGGTCCTGAGTTCAAAATGTTGCTCTTCTGCCTGGCCCTTGCCACCCCGTGAGCAGCAGGGAGTTACCAGTCACATCTGCAAATTGTGTTTAACACTGCCTAGGGCCCATGTGGCACTGCTGAGAAAGTCAGTGAACTAATGCACACCTCAGTTTCCCCCAACTTTATAATAATGCCTCCTAATGCACATGTACCCATGCATTACCAATCAGGCCATCATAATATACATGAGCAACTCTGAAGCAGTGTTAAAAGGAGAACTGATGTGGGTGGTGATGGATTTTTGAGCACATGGGGTAACAATGATATTATTTGCTGGGTGAATCGTTTGAGGTTGTGTTGCGCTCTGTCACCCGGGAGCAGTACATTTATTTATTTCCAAGCAAGTACATCCAACAACAATTTTCATGGGAGCTGGGATTTTGAGTTTTAATACAAACTCTGCTCTCCAACAGCTGAGCTCTAAATAAAAACCTTAATTATTTTGAATCTCAGGATATGATGTTGAGAGTCGAATGCTCTCACCAGCAGAAGGAAAGGGAGAATCTCTCTTCTGGTGGTGTTAAGCATTTGGGATGAAAATGCTCTGTTGTATATATTTGTGTGTGTGTGTGTACCTAGGGAAAAATAAACAAATATATGCATGCACACCCACACACTCACAAACATATACATGTATATTTCTGAGAAGAAGGAACATTGAGTCAAAACATTTGGGACTATTTTCCCGAAGACCTTACTCTAAGGAGAAAATTTCATAAAAGCTACATAGTACAGTAAATAAATTGTAAGGGAAATAGGTTGCAGAAGAAATTACTGGAAATAGGTTAGAAATGGTTTATTTCTCTAATCTATCTTTTTAGTGGGGGGAAAAAAATCTATCAGGTATTTGTCCAAGAAGATTTTATGAGGTGAACAGATGAGGTTAGCTGCCTAGATTGGAACAACTCTGTAATATAGCCTCATCTTATAGCGTCATAGGATTAGGGTCCAAGGGTCAACTGGGGGCTCTTCACTGGCTTATAGCCATTCTGGAAGTGACTGCAGGAGCTGAGCTTGTTAGTTCTTATGAGCATTGCTACAGCATTTTTTTACTTCCTAGAAACTGAACAGACTCACCTCAGCAAGCATCTCATACGGGGCAATGGTGAAAGTCATAAACTATGTTCTGCAAATATTCTTTAGCCTGACTGTAAATTTCCCTTAAACGAGCAAGGAATCTAGAGACAGCCATGTACCAAGGATCTGGCAATTTCCTAGGGATATTTAGTATTGAATAAAACTATCCAAATCCAGAAAATCTCTCAAGGTGAAAATAAAGTTGAGATGCTCTTTGTTTCTCACTTTTCTATCTGAGATATGTAAAAGTATTAGGTTTTGTTAAAAAGGCTCTGCTTCAAAGACTCTGCTTCCAAATACTCTCCCCACTTGAGAGAGCAATGTATAAGCATGATGCATAAAAAAGGTTTATGACTCACAGCATTTCTTAAACGCCTCTCCTTCCCTGGTCAGGCAAGGTCCACTATCTCCCTAACTTTTTACAGTCATCTCTTATTCCTGACCTGTCTCTTCTCCTGTCTCTTCTACAGTATTGTGGTAACATTACTTCATGCAAATATTACTTCCCTTATCATTCTTAGAAATCTTTATCTGCAGCGTACATTCACAGCAGGAGGTACGGCAGCCTTTTCAGAGCTATCTGTCAGCACACCCATTCTTTTATATTGATTCCATTCAGCCCTGTTATTAAAATTATCACAATTTTGGAGAGCAGAAAGGTGACTGGCTCTGCAAGTCAGTATATTTTCAGCAACACAAGTCCAATAACAATGCTCTACATGTACAAAAAATAACGTTATGCATTATATACAGAAAAATAAAATCCCTGTCCTTTTGTCTGTAAGAGGATCTCTTCAGACCCGGAGTAACTTTGTCCCTGCCTTGGTTTCCTGATTTCCATATAGGTAAGTCTCCCACGAGGCTGGTACAAAAAGCATCTTTCCAGCTCCCACTCCTGAGCTGGGGTTTTCTGCAGGATTCTCCTTGCTTGCTAGATTTCTCCCCTTTCGATTAAGCACCACCCCGGGCTTCTATCTGAGACAGGGGCTAACTCCAGCTCTCCCAGAATGCCAATCCTACGACTCGGCTGTCAAATAAAACACATTTTCTGAGGTGTTTCGTCCCTAACACTGTCAAAGTTGGTTAGATAAGTATTTACATATATCATTCACACGTTAACATCCCTCCCATGTCACTGGTACCTGGCCAGACAGAAGGCCCTTCACTTATAAAATTGCAATCTCTTGCTTGCTAATTTTTGAAATCCTGATCCAGAGCACACTGAAGCCAAGGGGATTGTTTTTTACGGGCTGACACAGATTTTGAATCATGCTGACCTTGTGTGAAGCAAACTGTATACATGCACCTGTCATAGTCTAGTTTGCTGAGTGAACTACTTTCAGTTTAACTTCTGCTGTATGTTATTAACATGGCACAGCTATTTAGCATTTAAATCGCCTTTCTCCTTGTCATTTCTGTCTTCAGTTCCCCCCCTCCCCCGAGTATGATTTATAGAAGACTGACTTAGTAGGAAAGTATGTAGTTGTTAGACAAGGATGGAATTGCATTTTTTAGTATCACGGCTTATTTCAATTTAAAGGACTACAGAGCAAAATGCGATTAACACAGCCATGACAAACATATGATTAAGGTTAGCTATTTTTTCCCCACTGTAATATTTTTCTTTTCACTTTCTCCTTTACAAACGGGTGAAAGTAACCACTAATTTTCTAGTATCTTTGCTCAAGGAGCATCGGAGCAAGTGCCTATTCTGCCTAGAAAACAAGAGCTTCTCAGCCAAACCGAGTGACTTATGACAAGGGTAAAAGGTATCTGAGATGCAGTACTTACTCTGGCTGCCCATCTTAACACTCATGAATAACTACTAGTGTATACTGTCCTACTAAAAATCATAGAATCATGGAATGGTTTGGGTTGGAAGGGATCTTAAAGATCATCGAGTTCCAACCCCCCTGCCCTGGGCAGGGACACCTCCCAATAGAGCAGGTTGCTCAAAGCCCCATCCAATCTGGCCTTGAACACCTCCAGGGATGGGGCATCCACAAGTTCTCTGGGCAACGTTCCAGTGCCTCACCACCCTTATAGTGAAGAGTTTCTTCCTTATATCTAATCTAAATTTACCCTCTTTCAGTTTAAAGCCATTACCCCTTGTGCTATCACTACATGCCCTTGTAAAAAGTCCCTCTCTAGCTCTCTTGTAGGCCTTCTCTAGGTACTGGAGAGCTGCTAGAAGGTCTCCCCGGAGCATTCTAGCCCATAGGCTGAATAACCCCAGCTCCCTCAGCATGTCCTCACAGGAGAGGTGCTCCAGCCCTCCCATCACCTTCCCGGCCCTCCTCTGGACCCGCTCCCACAGGTAACCTAAATATAATGCAGACCGTACTGACAGGCCCTATACAGTGCAGGGATGCCGCGGGGGAGCCCGGA